TACAAGCCCTGCACCGCATACTAAGTTGCGTAAACTTAAGTGTACCAAAGTGACCTAACTCGGCCTAACGAAGTCCCGGCGCATACCCATGAGAAATTAGTTTATCGCCATTATCACGAACAATTACATACACGAGAGGATAACGCAAGTTTAGTTTAGGTCAATTATTCGAAAGCGGGAAAATAATACCAAGAAAAGTTACTAGATTTTTCATAACTCCCAATAAATTTCAAGAATAAATTTTATCAATCAAAGGTCCGAAATCAATTGTTTCCGCATTAAATGTGCGGGTCAATTTTTAGATACAAATCAGTGGTTCTTAACATTTTCGAAGTGACGGAACATTTTTTGATTATTTTATATAAGAAGAAAATTTTCGGAACATCAAAATCACTGAAGTCATGAAACTAACAAGAAAAGTATGCAGAAAATATGTACGCAAGTATGTGTTTAATCAGTAAATACATGCAACAAGTTGTACGGAACACTGGGTAAGAACCAACTGTATAGATTATGGAGTAATTGTGTATTCCTACGATATTGATGTATCCGTTAAATATCAAAATTAAGGGAAAAAAGGTTGTTAATTCGAGACGTTGAATAATGATTGTAGGGTGTCAATGTGAAAACATTTAACCGCCCCTGTGTGAATCGGATTATATCACAGCATAAATGCGCGTGTTTCGGATTCTATCGGTCATTTATCGTTTTACTTCAATAGGTTTTTCCATTCACGTTGCAGTTATCGCAAACGACGTGATATACGAACGGTTCACTATCAGACACTCGTATGACAGTTAACAACAATGTAAAACATCAGTTTCACGTTGAAGCTAAAAATGTCCAGGGACGTTTAAATCAACCTTTTATATCACTGGTATTGACAAACATTCCATATCATAAGCTTTCGGTGAAGGCAAAAATGCTATTGTCTTATTTTTTAAGCTAAATAAATTCGATAACAGGCAAATTTATATGCTAACGTAGGTGTACATTCCGATTTCTTTTAGGAATATTTATATATAAATAAATAAATTAAAAAGGTAGGTCGAAGAAATATATTATCAGGGTTACGTTCCTTATCACAGAACGTAATTATGTAATTTCTGAGGAATTCAAATCTCTATAATCTTCATCAGAGATGTAATCGAAGTTGGAAACCATGTAATAAGTTCCATCCGTGAAGTTACAGCACACAAAGTTGCAGATTACTGCACTTTACTACCTCCCAATGTTCTCTGAGGGTGCTGGTAAACGATGGTTTGATGTTCGGTTTTTTATGGTCACATTTTTTCTCAAAGATGAACACACATAAGAACACATCCTACGTGTGTTTCCGATTATCGTAATCTTGCGATGAATATCGTGTAGGTTTTCTAATGGTCTTGGAAAATGTTCAAGCAATACGTGTTTAATCTCTATATGTACTGTAAAAATCTTGAAACAAGATTTTACGACATTTAGTCGATACGTTAGAAAATGTTTGTTATTCTGTAATGATATTACAAAAATGGAATAGTCCTGTGTTTCATGAATTGATAGAAGTTATTAGAACAAACCAAAGAGTTTATTCGCAACTGAGAGGCATGCATGTCGTCGTTTAAAATTATATTAACAACGAATCAAATTACAGGTGTGCCTTTTTGTACTTCAGGTACGAAATATGTAAAATTCACAACGAATTTATCATTACAGACGATTGAGAAAGAATTAAATCGTAATACTGCACCTTACGGTATTACCATGGGATGTTTTTATTCGGTATTGAAATTGTTTCCTGGTGAATGCACCGAATGCAAGTTAATCAACAACTCCGTTCGAAAAGTAATAACGGCCATATGAATGTTTTTGCCCTTGAATGAAGCTATTCCTTTGCTTTTGGTGTGTAAAATAATGCCAATAAACAGACTGTTATTTATAAAGTGAGCATTCGTACCGTATTCGCATTAAATGAGGATATACGTTCGGAGACAAAATAAGCCACCCAAAAAATATATATAAGTATTTATCAGTATATGAATGCAATCTTATGAAGATAGCGATTAGTAAAGAGAACCAATAGAAGAGCTATTCTTTCCCTCTCACTTTTTCTTAAATGCGCTTTTCGTCATGTTGCGCAGCGCAACAATTTCATGGAGAAAGCAAGAGAAGAAGTGTGAAAACAGCTCCTTTGTTTCCTCTTTCAGTTTTGCCGTCTTCATAGTCAGGTCAGGGTGTGGGGTACATATATCCTTGGTACATGATCAGTCCTCAAGGGATGACAAGGGATGGTGGTTGAACGATTCAGGAAAAACTTGGGTCGTTCTCGAAACGAGTCGAACGTACCTTCCCGGCAGTAACTTCGTTGCCGATCAGTCCTCGCAGATTGATAAGGTTTCCCTATCTCTCGTGAACCAATAACCATTGGACTAAAGAAAGAAGAAAAGAAGTGAGAATCGTTTCATCTTGAATAAGCGAACCGGATAAAATCTCCACAATCTCTGAGTTCAAATCACTTTACTGTACTTATTCCGAATCAACCCGGAAATTAACGCGTTAAACGCAACACCAATCTAATGTAATCGATAATTAACTTTCCATTTAGGTGGCGTTGTTCCCATGGACACAACGTCAAGAATTCCATATAAATAAAATTATGCCACTTGAATGGGAAGTACAACAAAATTAACTTTACGTTTAACGTGGTACGAAACACGTCATTTACAAATCTCGGATCTCAGATTTAATTTTCTTTTTAAAAAAGTCACCCCGGATAGTCTCGTTAATCAAGATGCCACAATTAACCACATATTATATCAGAATCCTGACACGATTGTAAATGAAAATACGATGGAGTTCTAAAAATGAATTAAATTTGGTTTTATAATTGTGCCGATTAATGTTTTATTTCCGATAATAATCACGTAAACAGATATGTGACTGCGCTATACTTTTATGTAGATTATTGTTTACTTAGTTTTATCTCACCTTTTATATCCTTAATTGACATTATGAAAAATACCATTACAACGGACACTTCCGTTTCCATTTATAGTTTTTAAATATTTATTAGGTACTGTCTATTGTCTTGTATAATTTTTCGATTAGATATTGTCCTCGCAGTCATTTCATTTATTTTCAAAGTTCCCCAGACGACGTAATAAGGGATACCGAAGGTCTCTCTGACGCCATTTTCAGGAAGAGCCACGTCAAAATTTCAGTAGAAGCGTAATTTTGCTGGAACATAAAAGTAAATGATGTGTACTTTCTCTTATTCGCATCTTGTCCCTTGCTCGTTACACTTAAATAATAAACGAAGGGAAAACCTAACATAAACTCACCATGGGACCCAAGTAATTTCGACTGGCATACGAAATGAACTATTACCTTAATCACTTATACTTTTATCTTATCTTTCCACGTGTCAGTCTTTTTACTTAACATACCAACATCATGAAGTATCTGCGTAAAACGTAAGAAAAATGTTTCCCAGCGAAATCATACAATTTACAAGATATAATTGAACTTTGTTAACTAACGTATTTGTTTCTATATTTAATCTAATAAAAAATGGAATAAAACAATATTCGGTAATTAAAGTGGGTACTTGTAATTACCCCGGTGGTCATTAAAATTGCAACACCTACAAACAGTAGGGACATCAAATTTCATTTAAAAAAAGTTAATTACGTCAGAGTAATAAATTATCAAAATTTCAAGTACTTTAACGAGAAATAAAGTTTTAATCGTGTCGTAATCTCAGCTATAGCGATATAAGATATTAAAAAGACTTCCAAATTTCAACCGTCACGTTGGCCAATTAACTTCGATATCAGCCTACATCGAAGCGTTGCGAAATCGAGTTATTGATACATCGATATTCTCATGGCAGGCATCACTCGAATCGACCGAAATTCCCTTTAGATGCATTTTGCAGTCAAATTTTTCCGATCTTCTGCATAAAATTCTGCAGACCATACGAAACGGGTATCATACGTGTTGGTGTCAAATACTGCTCATTCGTCCCGGTCAGTGGTAAAAAATATTGAAATTGCGAATAATGTTCCCTTGTACATACTTCTGGGACCCGAGTCTCGAGCTCATACGATCAACTTTCGCATGCGAAATTAACAATTTCCAAAAGACTTTCAAATGTTGACCAATGACACGACTTCGCAACAATGCAAAATATTTCATGCGAATCTGTTCGTATGAAAAAAAAATCCGCATTGACTCGAGAACCAGGTCCCTGTAGCACAGAACAAAGGTCTAAATATGTTCAGTTAAGGCGATGTAAAAATGGCGTCAACGAGGTCTCGCTTATGAAACCTTTCTCCGAACTCCGAATATACCGAGTCGTTTTCAACTTCATAACATGAACGTGGAGGCTTTAAGGAAAATCCTGACACCCATGAAATTAAAATTTTTTATAAATTTCTTCGTAAGTATTCTTAACATATACGCATCGGGAAACGAAAATTCTTGTTTTCAAAAGATAAGCGTTCATAATAGCCCGATGCGAATGTATTAACATTTTTGATATTTGATAAAAAATGAAATTTCATGGGTACCAGGATCTTCCCTAGAGCCTCTATATTCACGGTATGAAGTTTGAAACGATTTTGGTACGTTCGGTTCAGAAAAAAGTTTTATGAACGTTTGATCTCTCGGATGCCGCTTTCACAACCCCTCAATTGCACACATTACTCTACCTCGTATGAATAAAGTAACATCCGAGTAAATACGCCGTTGATTTCTATAAAATGAATGTCGTTGGAACCAGGGAACTTCTTGAGCAAAAAACATTAAGATCACTAAAGGTAATTAAATTCGCCCAAAGAAATAAATGTTTCGCTCAGTGTAGTACACCATTCTTATTTTGGCACCATCGTTTCTAATGAAAGGAATTTCTCGGTGGTAATCAAATCCGCCCAAAGAAATAAATGTTTCGGCTCAGTGTAGTACACCATTCTTATTTTGGCACCATCGTCTCTAATGAAAGGAATTTCTCGCTGTTGCAGAATGTTCGTGGGGTCTAGCATAATCTTGGCAGTGTTAATAGTGCCCTCTCTGACCGAAAAAACTTCGTCGAATGATGTCCTCAGCCTGCACGATGCATCCTTGCTGCTTCCGGAAATGCGTGACAGGAAGGAACTCACCTCCGTGGAGCGAAGGGCCGTTTCGAAAAGAGCTCCCATGGGCTTCCAGGTATCCCTTTTTCATCCTCTTCTAGACCGATCTTGTAAATTATTCATGTAGAGGCTAATATGGCTTTCGTCTGTATCTCGGTCTCTCATCTGGCCGCTTCCTTTTCTCCGGTTTTTTATCGCTTCGTTCTGCCCGCTTTCTTTCATTCGCCGGAAACAGAGAATCGGATGCGCGGTCTGCAGCAAAGAGTATGTAACGAAACGCGAGGTCTTTTTCGCGTTTTTCCGCTGTACGTAGGTACCGATAACGAGAGAACGACAGGTATGGTTCGATCTAGTCGAGAACGGAACCTCGTTCTCCGAGGTAATTGTTACTTAGAGCTTCAAACGAGGGGTATTCGCTTTCAAATTAACAAGACCTTCTTTGTGACTGCCTTTGCCTCTCGTGTTTCTACCTAGAGGATCGCGTTCGATGCTAAAGTGAAAAGGACTTTTGGATCGGATAACGAAATCAAACAAAAATTGCGTTACATCACCTTTTAATCGGTACGACGAAAACGAGATGTGTAGTGCACTCGTCTCGAGACAAATACACTACTTGCCAAAAGAACTGCAACACCGAATAATCAAAATCGTGCGTATCTGATAATGACGTGGGTACCCATAATTACGAAAGTGGTATAAGTAAAAAGTCTGAAAAACTGAATTTATTCTATATTTTCTGTTATATCCATTTAAATTATAATAATTTGAAATTAGTTTTGCAATAAAAGATGTGATCTAAGCAACTTTCATAATCATCGGCACGTGTATCCTTTAGCATAATGAAAGAAAACTATAATCCGCAGTCATTCCCAACTTTTGGGATTAAAAGACGTCTTCTACTTGCGGTCATTAAATGGTTAAAAGGCGTATTTTAGTGAAAATGAGCCAGCTTTTTTCAAAATTATCCTGAAACAATACGTCAAAGTATATTCCGCGATCTAGTCTGAGTTACGAAAAACTATCGTCCTTGTTCTCAAATGTGTTTGCAAATTGTTTCATGCATTCAATAAAGAACTCATATAAAAATGTTAAACATGTAATTTTCAATGTCAGTAGTCACTGTAAAAACTTACACTGGTAGACTTAAGGCCTTCGCAAATACCTCGTGACAGCAATCGTATGTATAATAGTTAAACTCGGCCAATCAAATTGTAGAAAATTTAATATGGTGTCCTATTTCGGCAATTTGAACGCCCAGTTCTACTATATGGCTTACGGTTACATCTATGCGAGATATTCAAGGAGGCCTGTACTAACAAGTGAAGGTATTTAATTTTAAGGTGTGTTATAAAAGTACCTAAAGAGATTACCGCTGCCATACAGAATTCAGGCCCTAACTTCATCAACGCATAATATAGTCAAGTTTATACGCTGCTTCTAGCATTAAATCCTCGTAAAGCCACGCCATTCTTATTTATAACAACAACGTGGCTTATTGTTCAATTTTTAATTTTACAACTTTGATTAAATCCGCTAGATAAGTCAGACACAAATTTATCAAAGAATGGAACTAACAGAAAAAAAACATACTATAATACATTTTTCGAAGCTACTCCGAAAGTGTAATAGTGATAGAAAACCTGATGGAAATTTCAATTTTTATATTTAAATCTTTAATTGGTAGTTTTCAACTTACCATCCGTATTATGCCAATTATTAATTTAAAAGCTTGAGTTCTAAATTATAGGTTTACAGCTATACCAATTGTATACGTTGTAAGTTACACATTTTATATTTAATCTTCTTATTGTTTCTTTATTTGGAAAAGGTAAAGCCTAACAACGCTTACCGCGAGTACATATAATAACCCAAATAGAAGCATTACCCTAGTTTTCTTAATCTACAATTGCAAAATGTTTAGCTCCTATCTTGTTATTAATGATGTCATTAAAAATGACAGGGTATGCGTGGCAAGAAAAACGTGATCGGTCCCGACTTCGCAGACAATTTCTTGCACGAGGACTACGAAAAACGAGCACCCATGGGATTCCAGGGCATGAGAGGGAAAAAGGAGTACTTGTCGAATCAAGACGATTCCTCTGCGAACGAAGAGTACTCGAACGAGAAGAGAGCGCCTATGGGGTTTCAAGGGATGCGTGGGAAGAAGTCTTCTTTCGACGAGGAGTACGACAAACGGGCTCCCATGGGATTTCAGGGGATGAGGGGCAAAAAGTCTCTGGAAGAGGTACCCCTTCAACGTTTCTGTCCAATCTTCGTTCACCCTGGCCCTCCGCGAACAACCATTAACCCTTTTGTTACGCGATATTGCTTTCAAGCAATTTATTTCCGACAAGTTTAAAAACCTTAATAATCTTCATTGGCAAACTAGTATGTATTTACTAATAGTATCGCTACCTCTGTCTCCGTTTTTAATCAGATACTTTCCTTCGATACAAATTTAACAACTTTTACAACCCTTTTGTTTTATTAACCCTTTTGTTACGCGATATTGCTTTCAAGCAATTTATTTCCGACAAGTTTAAAAACCTTAATAATCTTCATTGGCAAACTAGTATGTATTTACTAACAGTATCGCTACCTCTGTCTCCGTTTTTAATCAGATGCTTTCCTTTGATACAAATTTAACAACTTTTAACAGAAGCATCACCCTAAACGAAGCGTTACTTATTCCCGTCTTATTAATTTAAGATTAACAATTTGAATGTAGTGATTTAATAGTTTGAATTTTCTCGATGAACATTTAACACCTTTCAACGAGAGTAACACACAAGTTGATTGCTATCGATGAATTTATTTCGTGACAAATATGAAATCTTTAAGAAAAGGCGTTACTAAGAAATTATATTATGTATTTACTAACAGTAACGTTTTTTAATCCAATGTTTTTATCTTGATAAAGATTTAGCAACCTTTAACGAAAGCTTCACACAAGATGAAGTGTTACTTACCTCCAACTAAGTAGTTAAAGATTAGTTTTCTAATTGAATTGGTTCAATGCTTTGATACTTCTAAAGTTCGATGCTTGAATCAGGTTTTTCCTTGACACGGACACAAATATTTAATAGAGATGTACAATAATTGAGTAATTGCCCAGTTAATTGTAATAGACACCGTACAGATAATCTCGGATTATTTGAATGGACAGTACTCCTTTATCGCGATTTCAACTCAACAGGTGCTCGACGAAATTGAGAAGAGGGCTGCGATGGGTTTCCAAGGCATGAGAGGCAAGAAGAATTATTATCTAGAATATCCCGAGGACAATGAAAAGAGAGCGATGGCCATGGGTTTTCAAGGTATGAGGGGCAAGAAGGATGAATGGGCTGCCGATTGGGAGAAGAGAAAACCAATGGGATTTCAAGGAATGAGGGGTAAGAAGAGTTTCCAAGATGAGCTGGATGAACTGGAGAAACGTGCCATTATGGGATTTCAGGTACATTTTTTACGATGTCGGAAATGGTCATTAATAAACAAATTTTAGAACAAAATTAGTCCATCGTCAGTTCCATAACAACTTTGTACAGAAAAATGTAATCATCATCCCTTCATGTACTCAAATTATTTTACCATAAAAATCAATCAATCGAAACCAATGAATGATATTTACTTCATTCCATCTAAAATTACACGTTCAAAACATTACTTAGTAAATTATGTTGAAAATAATTTGCTAATTAGTCCTTGAGAACTAGATTGTATTTTTACAACGTGCTTTAAAATGCTTTGTGTAAAAAGACTTGTTCAAAACCGCAAAGAAATGTGATCCAAGTATACTTCTTGGTCATTGATCGTTCTTCATTGAATCATAGCTTAAGTTCAACAAAACCAATAATTTAATTTTGAGGAATCACGCAAAGAGTTAAGTACCAAAGAAAAGAATTTCACGATAACGTCTTAGATTATTTGTGAGGAAATTGAAATTTAAACGGAATGATTATAAATATTTTAATTTACGATAAGCAATGCTTCATTGTGACACAAAAGTAAAATAAAACCGCTGCTGCATGAATAACAAATTTTTCAGGGTATGAGGGGCAAAAAATACTATAACGATATCGACGAGTTCGCTGAAGATTACGAAAAGAGGGCACCTAAGATGGGTTTCCAAGGGATGCGCGGAAAGAAAGACATTTTCGATTCGGACAAGAGTGCTCCTATGAGTTTCCAAGATACGAGAGGAAAAAAGACCATATCCGAAAGCTACGACGATGGCGTAATGGATTTGTCCGATTACGAGAAAAGAGCGCTGATGGGATTTCAAGGCATGCGCGGTAAAAAGGATTCCGACAAACGAGCACCCATGGGTTTTCAAGGAATGCGAGGAAAGAAGGATTTAGATGACCCTTTTGGTTCTACCAGTGAATTCAGCAAAAGAGCACCAATGGGCTTCCAAGGTATATAGTTCACTATGTAATCCTACGTAAAGCGTGACTTAAAATAAGAAATAAACGCCAGTTCAAGAGAAAAAATTGTACTATGAAAGTATTTTTGTGTATCGTACCTTGTACTTGATTAGGAAAGGACAAAAATGCATTAATAAATGTAATAAATGTTGCAGAGGAAAACTTCGTCATTTGGAAAACAGGAAATCCTGTAATTTTCTTAAAATCCTGTATAATATTAGGTCATGACATAAGTTCGTGCGGATTTTTTGTTTTTAATGATTTAACATTTCTTCGAAATTATGGCAATTTATTCAAGCTTGAGTCAAATAATTATCTTTTGAATTAACGAAATATTTCTTTGGTGCTATTCAGAGAAGTATTTCTTAATAATTAACCCACTAAGTAAATAAATGAATTTTGTTATAATTGTACATAACGCTATTAATGAAATCTTATATCCATATTAATTGATGTATCCATTAAGTTGTTTAAATAATACATGCCTTCCTTTTTACAGGAATGAGAGGTAAAAAGGACGAAAATCCGATCGAATACGAACCATTCTCACCTTTCACGTATTTCGATTCCCGTGGGAAGAAAACTCCACGATTTGCAATTCGAGGAAAATTTGTTGCCGTGAGGGGGAAGAAATGGTCCGAGGGTTCATTATTCGATCAATCTGAAAATCTCCTCGACAATATCGGAAGGACTGGCGTGAATACTGACTCGACGACGACATTAGGTAAAACAACCGCCTGTGGCCTTAAACAAACATTTCTTCTCTTTTAGGTCCTTAGAATCATAATTTACCCAATCATCAAATGAAATTGTGCAAATAAAAATGCATAAATATTAACATTTTGTGACTGACATTTAAAAAGACAATATTAAGTCTGGAATATATAGATATTTCTTTTTCTAATTACATTGTCGAATTCATTATATGTTACCAACGAATACTATATTACAATAGATCTTGTTAACAATTACTACCTATCCTCTTTTAATAATCATACAAAAGTTTACACGTCTACCCTTTTATATCTATCTGTTTACCCTTAAATTGAATCAAAATTTGTCGATGGAAAAATTGTATAATAATTAATTCCTTTAAATCGTTTTATGAATGCGATTAAATTGGTGCTTGTTAGCTACTTGTCCATGGGAAGTTAAATATAATCCCGTAGATCAAGTTTTGTTTACTGTAACGACTATCAAAGGAACCATAATTAACTCATTTAGGTATCTAATGTCTGTATGCGAATAAGAGACATTTTTGATACATACTAGTTAGCTTTATTTGCTAACTATACTAATTTTGAACAAAATTATTCATGACCATCAATTGTACGCTTCTAGTTAGGAATCCGACCTTTCCTTCCGTTCCGATTTTCTTTGATTACGATGTATTTGTTACAAAATAATAACTAAACAATACAATACAATTAATAACCTTCTTCTCTGTTTCAGACATCCAGTAGTGCTAAGGCGCTAAAAAGGAAGAAAGTATTTCCTTTAATAAATTAAATTAATCTAGTCAAAAGGGAAAAGGAAAAGTGGAAACGCGAATACAGAACATCACGAAACAACGGCAGCTTAAAGCGTTGTCAACTGTTAAATTACACTTCAAATGTTTATTAAACAACAAAAACTTATTCCTCCGTTATATCATGATTTCAATAAATGTTACTATGAATTCAACGTGGTGGTACTTTTGTTCGAGAATGCCGAGCGATTGCAGGGATACGCGTAGAAAGTAATTGCAAATCGAAAAAATCAAGAAATCGTCAAATGATATCAAAGTTTCCACAGCTTTCGAATTGCAGGACCTTTCTAAAAAGCCTATATCAGTATTACTTGCCAATTCAATAAGTAATTACCGTAATTGTTTCGTCGCTAATGAAGATATGAGAAACGCGCGCACCGTGTATGTCTTTCGTCCAAACACTGATAACACAGCAAAGTGAAGCTATTCCAACACCCTTGACACGAAATCTAAAAACGAAGAGAAAAATAAGAAGAAAGTGAATCGAGTATGAACGTTAAATAGATATTGAATATACTTTGACAGATAGGTGCTATATTTTTCTCTGAATGTTAACGATAGCGATAACCCTACTGTGTCTGTGTAATTCGAAGATGCATCTTTCCAAATAAAGGGCAGTGTACCATACTTTAGCCATCTTAAATTTTAACTCTAGTTAGAACGATTTGTATAGGCAATTTTTATGTAAACTGCGCGCACAAAACTATACTATGTACCTATTACCTGTGAAATCTCTTCTATATCCCAATGTATATTTTCATAGAGTATTTACGTAAGGATTATAGCGTTGTATACGTTCATTAAGTTATTCCTTGTTAAACGGTTAGTAGACGCTTGACAAATTTTACTATTTTAAGAGTACATTATCAAAGAAAGTCCGAAATGGTGATTCACTATATAAGGACAAACTAAATCGGTTATTTCCTATGAACCATTTTTTTATAGCTTGTATGTAATGATAATGTGAATAGGAGTTATCTCAGATGAGTATATAATTTGAATTCTCATTACAAAACTTATGAAAATGAATAAAACTTCAAATATTTGAATAAATCAGTTTTTCAATCAACAGTAACACATTATTTTTAATTGGTGATGAAGAGACATGAATTCAGGACTAAACTTGCACTTACATTAAAGTAATTTTTGGTCCATTTATTTTTTGAATTACCTGACCAAAATAGACGTTCAATTTTAGTAAATTAAAAATACCTTGTCTGAAAACATACTTGGTATAAATAAATATGTACAATTCTGAAAATCATATGAACTTGGTCTAGCCGTCAACTGTAATGAAATACAATGTCCTAATGGTTAAAAATACTTATCTAGATTTACACTGATCAGAAGAAATTGCAATTTTGTCTAAAAATCTCGGCTTTCCAAACATTATGAAGTTCAAAAATGATTTTGATACATTATATATGTACATCAATTTCTATTTTTATTTTACCATTAATACCACTGTACTACAAATGATTCTACGTTAATTTTATATTTACGATGATACTCTATTTAATTACATTCAAGGTTTAATGTTAACTAAATGTGGAAAATCTATAAAATAAGAATCACTGGAAAAATTCCAAAATTGAAAATCAATTTTATCAAGCTCCCCATCGAAGAATCCTTATGATCTGGCCTAATCTACGTTTATTTTATCAATAGAATAGGCCCTTTTCTAATATTTTCTAATCACCTTAGATTTTCCTTCTAAGAGATACGAATACTTCAATTCAGAGATAAAAATGGAAAATAAAGCAAATGAATGTATACGACGCTCCTAAATCCTTACTTCTTTAGGCTGGAAGAGGAACAACATTTATTTACGCATAAATAGCCTTTAATCCTAATCTAATGTGAATGTATCACCCTTATTATCGACCACGTACTGTAAGAAAGAAAGCGTTACGTGTCTGGAAACAACGTATTGTAAACAGTTTATATTTTCAATGTACTTATTTAATCATGTTAAATGAAGTTAATTATTTTCTATTGCTTTATTGACTTGTTTATTATTAGAATATCAAGCAACCCGCTATTTAGGTACGCAAAATGTACGGAAAAGCATCCAATTTAAACCGAAATTACAAGAATCGTCAGACCGGAAATATTTTTCATCTAGAAGTACATTGTCCCCTACGAAAATAAGTATCTAGTTGTGAATATGAATATTGAACGACCAGCCTGAATTCGGCTCGATTATAAGTTTCCCCCGCAGATGTTAAAATCTCGAAAGTTCAACAAATATTCAGTTATTTTGTAATGGTTTCAAAATCCTTAAAATAACATAACATATATAAAATACCCCAATTTTCATACGCTGATATTTCTTGTTATTATATCCTGATGCTGATTTGGTGCGATGCTCGTTTATGATGCTTGAATGCTAACGAATAAACAATTGCACCACATTAAACAACAAAAAAAAAGATATTAACTTCACCGCACTCTATAGCAAAAAGTGCATTAAACGCAATGCACCTATATTAGTAATATGACAATGACTGAAGTATGGTACAAATAACGAAGGTACGATTAACATAAAGGTGCTTGAAAACGCAGATGCGCGCGCTCGACCGATCAATCTGCAACAATAATGAAAGTATATCTCTCGTAATCGTTAATGGTTAGTTGAAAAGCTAACATTTTCATTCCTTCGTTGCGTCCACTCAATAGTATGGAAATATGGAAATCTGCCCATATGCTCCATTGAGATGGATCGATGATCGTTGCCTTTGGGATTTGATCTTTCGAGTGCATCTATCTATTTATCGTATATGAAAATAAATTTATGCAGAAGAGAGCATAGTTCGATTATCTGACGTAACCCGGATGGTGTAAGAAAAACCTGTCAAATATACTTGAAATATGAAGTGACAACACTTACTAGAGACTTAGTAGTAAAAGTCGCAAATGGAGGTCTTATCGATCCTACAAGGTCTTCCTACCGAGGATGAGTCTGTTAATGACGAGGAAACTTTTTAAGTGTATATAATATATCGAGGCGATGGCAAGATATACATATAAACATATATGTGACATAAAAGATAATATATATACATTGATGTACTATATAAATACAATATACGTCTACGTACAAGTGGTGAAACACATATCAATAAATGCAGTTCATTACGTTATATCCCATTGTCATTTTTTTATTATGAATGATTTTACACATAGTTTAAAGCGCGATTTTAAATGCCATTGTACTTTGATTTTTTCACCAATTGTTGCCATTATTTTCCTGAATCATGAATAAGAAGTTTCATATTTAAGTACTTGACGATCACTTTCAAAGATCTTTTTTTAGATTTATGAATACTATGTCTGCATCTTAATATATGTTTTCTGCAGAAAAAGTATTTTATCAATGATTTAAGCGGTCCTGATAGCAGTTCGTTCTTATATCGGACCCGTTACTGGTCTTAATATTTAAGTCGTGATGCCATTCCCTTCCACTGTTTCAAATGCCCATACTTCAAATTCGCATCAAAAGGTAACCGCCCTGTCACGAACAGGAAGTGATAAAAAGATAAGGGAGATCATCGAAAACTGTACACTGAAGTCAACGTAAAAGCTTCGAATATAAACCGACGGAAAGATGTTTAAATTCTGTCATCTTTTAATGTTGACTAAAAGTTGACGAATAGTTTTAATTATTAATATTGGCTCTTTTCAGTAAAGGCTAAAAGATGACGATTCGTAAAAAGTGTCAAAATCAGGTGCATAAGGCGATTTTTCGTCTTCTTCTTCTCAACTATATGCTGTTACCAAAAGATAACTTTCGGGAAAATTCACCTTTTAGACATCTTTCAATCGTCATGTGCTATCTGGATATTTAATGCTTTTAAAAAATGAAGCTGTTACTAACTACGTTACTTTACGTAGATACATACAACGCAATTTCCCTTTTAACATTCTAAAAACAGGCGAAAGTATGAATACGACTCAAGCGTTGGCAAGCGTTGGCACGCTAACCAATTCGGCAAGAAAATGTCGAAAAAATTCGCAGTGCCGAAATTTGGACAAGCTTTGTGTCACCTCGTCGTAGGCGACTCTAAAGGTAATTGGTAATTACATTTCAGTCGCACGTTTGTCTTAAAGTTTAAAAAATACAACTAAAAGGAATGAAAAATAGGAGCCAAGCAGGATGTGACAACGCGCAATGCAGATTGTCAATGTTATTCGCGACCAAAATGTGTTTGCGAAAAACTAGAAACTCCTCCTCTGTATGTCCTGAAAACAATAGTGATTAAATTGAAGTTAAAGTAATCGGATTCATTGCGATAATTTCTTGTTTTTAGATGGGTTCAAATCACGAAAAAGGCTTATTCCAAGGCGAAGAGGTCTTTCCAGAAAAAAGAGGAATTACCAGTCGAGATCTGTGTGACGGAAAGGGAGTATAAAAGTACGCTTTAGAAATCTTATTGTATATTAACATGTTTGATACAGAATCATTTTATTAACTTTGGGTGTTTTTTGGACAGAGTCGTGTGTGTGCAAAGAAACTAAAAAATCGTCGCGCAGGAAGCGGCAATTACCAGTCAGGAAATGCGTGAGGGAAGAACCTGGTGAGAGTTATTTATTAAAAAATATTTCTTCGCGATGATATTTATTTAAATCATTAAGTATCTTGGAAGAGCAAGATTGACGAAGCCACCGACGTTCTTGCTGATCGGAAAGTAGTGAAGCAGAAGGAAAGGACGAGGCGCGGATTAAAAGCTGATAAACATCACCGGTTAAGAGTTGGTAGAGAACTTCAGGAAGATGTGGATAGTCCACAGGATACTGGGAATCAGAAATTAAATCAGTATGAAGAAGATCGTCTTAGGAGGGAATCAGGCTCGGTAAAAAAAGAGAATGAGTCATCTAGGAGAGAATCAGGATTACCGAGAAAGGCATCCCTTAGAAGAGAAGCAGGATCTCTCAAAAAAGAGTCACGATCTCTTGGAAGGGAATCAACATCAGAAGCTCCGAAGAAAGAACCAGAGTCACCCAGAAGAGAATCGGGATCCCCCAGGAGAGAATCAGGATCTCCCAGAAAAGAATCAGGATCTCCCAGGAAGAAATCCTCACCTCCAGCACAGACGGGGCGTAAAGACTCCCTTGCGACGCCGGTATGCTATAAAAAGATGAACGATATAATCTGTTACAAAACGAAATACTAACCCTGACAGCACAACCAGTAAAAGATATCTAAAAGATTACGATTTTCCTGAAAACTAATCTTTTAGTTACAACATATTGTCGACAAAAAGATGACAAAGAGATATCTTATGCGCCGGATTTCGGCATCTTTTAGTGAAGATTAAAAGATCATAAAATCCAAACATCTTTTCGTTGAGGTCGGAGAGTAGTTTTGATAATCTTCTTTCTTAGCACCGACTCTCCGGTGTAACACGGATACCTTTTTATGTGGAGCTGGAATGTGAGCATTTGAAACAATGGAAGGGAACGACATTACAACTTTTAGGCCGTTTGCACACGTCTCGGCAAAACCGGCGCCAACACCGACTTTTCAGTCGAAAAAAAGGTAACTTTCATTTATTTCGTTGGTAATAATATAAATAAATGAAAGTTACCTTCTTTTTGGCAGAAAAGTCGGTGCCGGCACCGACGCCGGTTTTGCTGGTACGTAGGCAAACTGCCTGAAACCTAAAAACCAGTATCAAGTCTTATATACAAACGAACTGCTATCTGGTTTACTTTCAAGAAAGCCACGCCAGTGCTATCTGTCGATCCTATCAAAACTAATTGGCAACGTTGTTTCGTCATCGTGAATTTGAATTACAAAATAGATTAGCAAATGATAACGATCCTTCCGCATCGATCTATCTATAATATCTATCATCTATAAAATCATAATCTATAAAATCTGTAAAACCTACCGCATCTATAAAAACGTAAAGCTTTAATTTTTAAATTATACTCGCACATAAAACTGCATCTAAACGAAATGGCACTAATGCTGGCACGTTCCACATACCCTCTATCATCTAATAGCCCTCTTCCTCCATTAGGCATCCATACGAAGACATCTTTTAGTCTGCTATAATTAGGAAAATGTAACGTTAGACATTTTTTAGATATCTCTTCGTCATGTCAAACCGATGATTTGAAAAGGACAGCTTTTCGTCGTCTTTACGGGAAACGGTGCCGTCTGGGTAACGTACCGCAACTGTATTTCCTCTTTTACAAGAATTTTATGGCAGACCCTGGAAGAAATCTTGCACGGGGCGGCAACTCGACAAGCCCGAAAATGCGAAAAAGCCTGTCCCTGCGAATACTCCCGGGAGTTACTAGGCATCCACCAAAGGGTTCAACTACTCCGATCCAAGGCTGAAGAGGTCACCTCAAAAACGGAGCGCTGTAAATTCAGGATGACCCGAAGCGAGGCGAATTTTTTGAAAGAGGACCCGAGGGCCTGCTCGGTAATGACGAATGAAATTCGCTCTCAGCGTGCCGAAATGAGGGAACTCATGGACATGTGGCAGGAGGCTGATGAAAAATTGCAGTTCCACTGGAAAGAGCTAGGATCACTGGGCATGGAGGTAACTAGAAGAAAATGTGAAATATAAATCATTATACAAAAGTCTGAATCTTTTAAGGTGAAGTGAAACACGTCGAGAAATTTTATCGAAGTCGGTAAAAAAGATTCGACTAAATACCTACGTTTCCGACGTAGTATATATATCGTCAGCTGTGTCGAATTATATCGGGAATTGTACTAATCGACATACTCCATATATCGTTTCCGTACAATCATTGTAAAGAAATTGACGGAAAACTCCAGAAATATCCTGGATTCATGGTTTTCGATGCCCTGACTGACTGCAGAGCGCCACCCTTTCGTTTCTCATATCAGAGCCTTCGACATTTGTATATCGATCGAAATATAAGAGCTCGACGCCATTTTGGTTCTAGTATAGGCTAAGTCCAAAAAACTCACGAAAATCCAAGTTTTTAAAGTGTCAAGATAATTCTTAGATGCTCACGACTTATGTGTCAAAGTTTCGGACAGTTCGGCTGAATAGCCTTGAAAAAAGTGTGTTATTCGAATCGACTGATTTGAGGGAGGTTTCACTTCACCTTAACTGATAAGTTCAATCGTTACAGATCGACCAATCGGAACGGAAGACCATTGAATTGGAAGATTCCCTGATGGACTGGACTCCCACGGGAAAAATGACGAGGATGCACAGGGACCAGCTCAAAGCGGAGGACACGGTGGACGCAATGGAAAAACGTCAAGCAGAATGTCGATTGAAAGTCAAGGTTCGTTCCTACAGATTTAGAAAGATGATTCAGGACATATAACCTCACCTGTGAGACTTGATGTTTCAGGAGGAAGTATGGAAAGTGCTAGAGGAGAAAGCAAAATTCCAAGAGGAAGCGAATAAACGAGATAAAAGGAGAGCCCGACAGAGAGAGGAGGATGCGGTCACTCTGCTCGGGGCTACGGATCTCATGCAGAAATACATCGACGACTATTACCGACGGATTTAGTAAAATGCAAACGCTCTGCACCTTAATTGCACTCTGTATGACTCGCTACGGCATAGATACGCGTTTCGTTAAATGTATGCTTCCGTTTCTGACTTCTAGCAGAAATACCAGAATTCTTTGGCATATTAAATCGATAAATACATATTTTATATGAATATAAACGCAATTTAGTCTACTTATAATATTAAATTAGAAAAATTTTTTTCCTGGAAGTTACTTTAAAAATGTCAAGAAGATCGATGAAAATTGAATGAAAAAAGCAGTTCCGTAATGCTAAATGTATTGGGACAGACCCGTCTGTGACGTAACGACTCCCCCTTAATGATCATTATATACATATTGTTGTGAAGTGTCCCTGACCCACTTAACGTAGTTTTTGTTAAATGATTATTCACAGAATTTCTTAAAGAATATATTAAAACATGTTTTATTAAAAGTTAGCTGCTCCCGCCGCTATTACGCCGCGCGGCTGGAGAGGGCAGTAGGTCCACGAGGAAACCATCGATGAATGCCAGTGTACGCTTCACTATTTCGCTTAAAAATTTGTGCCGCGCCAGTTCACATGAATGGTCTCGCATTTTCACCACTAAAAACGTTCCGTAATACCGTCAGGGACTCATTTTTCACATTTTCGCTCAATTTGCTTTACGTATTAGGCCCCCTGGCCGTGTTACCATAGATGAGGTAGGGGCTCGCGCAATCGCGATGGCTGTCCCATCTACCAGTTGCCG